CACACACACACACACACAGAGGATGTAAAAGGAGAGAGGAGTCAGCCAAGCTTTTTACTTGAAATGTCATGATCGTTGAATAATTTTGCCTTTAGTTAGTTGATTATGATAGACAAAGATTTTAGGCAAATAATCATGTTTTTTATTTACTAACTACAATGTAAAACAGTTGAACAGTATACAAATAATAAAATAATTCCCCTTTTACAAGTGCAAAATAACAAAAAAGCAACAATGTAACAAAAATATAGCCTAAATATAACAATGTCAACAACACAACTACAAACTGTGTGCTAATTTGCTGAATGCAAAGACGAAAAACTGCAACAAAGTATCGATCTCATCACGCTAGTATCGATCCGATACCGATACTCACCTTGGTACTATCGATATTTAGATCGATACGCCCAGCCCTAGTTGATGGAGCGTCGGTCTGGTCTAATCTCTGGACCACTTCTCTGCCCGTAACTCTCGTGTTGTCTCGGCTGCAGAAACTTCTGAGCATGGAGCCCATCAGTCTGAGCTGCCAGGTAAGAGACGGTGCTCGATGCAACCATAGATTATACAATTAAGACGGTGTCATCGGAGATTCCTTCATCATCTTCACATCATCGCAACCCCAATATACGACAGTGTGTGTGTGTGTGTGTATAACAGAAAATAACATAATATATCTAAGAATATAACCAAGAATATATCAGAGTCTATATTCAGCGTGGACAGAGTTCTCAACACCAGGATGTGATGCAGAAGTCTGACCAAGAGGAGCTACTCCTTCAGATATTCATGGTCATACAACGTTTGTCAGATAGAGGAAACACTTTGAACAATGACACTTCTGTTAGCACAATCAGTACTGGATCAAAGCCAGTTCTGTAGTCACATCTGCCTTTGTTTTTTGTACCAGGGGAAATAAAGTTCATGGAGTAAAATCACATTATCCATCCAGGGTTTTGCAGACAGTTAAAATTCCCATTACACTCGGAATGAAAACAAATGAAAACAAACCAAATCAAAACACAAAACCAAGGTAAACATCCATAAACTCCAACAAAAATCCAGAAGCTGAGAGTCATGACAATATATATTGTCGTTGCAATTCTGCAATCCTGCAATCCCACTCTGACAATGAAGAACGAGACACAAATCTCTTGTCACACTTTAATGCATGTTACTGTGGTTACACAGTCAGCATGAATGCTCAGAGGTGAAGGGTTTTTATACAGTGTGATAAACAGGAAGCATCTGCATTTGCTGCGGCACCTAGTTGCACATCAGCACTCAGGGCATTTGTTAATTAAAGAATAAAATATCTGACTAGTTTCGAATCGTCGGTCTGCACATTCGCCAGACAAGTTCCTCTTATGTGAGCACAGCTGTATTCCTATATAAGGAGTTCTTGTAGAACACAGCACACGAGAATCGATCAGGAAAGAGGAAACAGTCCAAATAAAGTTCATATGTGAATTTTCCATAACAGCACACAAGACAAAGGTTGGTTGAATTAACACATTGTGTATGATCAAAGGTTACGTTTCCCTTACAATACATATATGTGTGTGGGTGTGTGTGGGTGTGTGTGGGTGTGTGTGGGTGTGTGTGTGTGTGTGTGTGTGTGCGTGCGTGTATAACAGGAAATATAACAACCTGCTGCGTGGTGAAAGAGATTGACATTTATCTCACTTTTATAAGTGTACAGACAGTAAGTATTTGTTCAAACAGTTCACAGGTTCATCCAGTTCATAGCACACAAACATTTCCTTGGTATTACACTCAAGTAAACATTCTTAGTAGAGCATAACGCTGATGTTTTAACTGAACTCACTGAGCATATTCAGGTAAAAATGACCATGACAGAAAGTTCATGGTGTACAAAGACATTATACATACAAGGTTTCACAGAGAGTTATCATTTTCATTATACTCAGAATGAAAACAACCAAACACAAAACCAAGGTGAATGTCCATAAACTGAGGAGGCCAACAAAAATCCAGAAGCTGAGCTCAGAGTCAACAATATATGTATAAAGAGAGAGAGAGAGAATCGTATCACAAGCATAAGGCTGGTTTCATATTATTTACCTGTAGTTATATTACTGTATGTTCAAGTATTCTGTGGAATGTGTTTGTGTTTGTCCACCTTAAAGTTCTTCCATAGGCCTGTTGCATTGAGGCTGAAACAAGGCATCTGTCGTAATCCAGAGGAGTTTGTCAGAATGTTGAGGATGAGAAGTTGCACACACACAGTTTAGTCAGGACACTTTGTTGGCATAATTCATTCCCTAGCCCCTAACTACGGCTTTAACTTTATGCTCTGTAACGTTATTGAACTCTGCAACTCATCAGTGGTGATAGAACTTCACAAAGCATTGAACTACAGCCAGCGTCATCACTTTTATTGGGTTCCTTGGAAACCTTTCCGTTGTCGCTTTTTGCTATTTGCAGCACGTTTCTGTATTTGTTCCCGTTGTGACTTTTTGCAGCGCATGTTGTCAAGTTGATGAAATCGTTTTCTTCATTTTCACGTGTCTTTTTTATTTGAGCTCTCTTGGCCACTGAAACTGTGGTGTCTGAAATGCTATGTGTTGTCTTCCCTTTAAAGGAAATGTATCTTTGGGTTTGAGGCCCACAGCTCCTGAGAAAATCAGAGGAAGTTTAGGTTGTCTGAGAAAAACTGAATGTATACATTAGGGCAATAGATCACGGCTCTAACTGTCACCCTAAATTTGAGCTGGTGTTATTCCTTTCCTGTTAGCGGACAGTCTGGAGGAAAGCCAGATGCATTTTCTTCAGATTCACGAAAACAACCCTCCTATAAACGAGGAGTTGAAGTTGCCTCGGGAGGAGATTTACATCGGCCCCGAATCTCTCTCCAGGCAGATTGCATTGCTTGTATTGATGCTGAACTTTTTGTAATAAACCTTTATATACAATCAAGACGGTGTCATCGGAGATTCCTTCATCATCTTCACATCATCGCAACCCCAATATATGACAAAACCCAAACTTGACCATCAAACATTAAAAGCATAACCCTTATTCTTACCATACAGGTGAGTGCTAAACCTCAAACAAACTTTAAAAAAGTGAGGACTGGGCAAAATGTCCTCATTTTCCCACAATGACCTCACACTGTAAGGTCTAAGCACACGCACACACACACACACACACACACACACACACACACACACACACACACACACGTGACTTGATTGGTTGAAGCAGAGACTGAGGCGCTGCAGCTCTCAGCTACAGTCTCATGGAACTGGATGGTGAGCAGTGAGCAGTGAACAGTGAATATTGGATACTGATCAGTGAACAGTGCAGCCCAACTCAAGGTGACGTCACTGGACTGAACTCTTCACGGACACGGTCACTCATCGGTAAGCAGGAAGTCAGCGTCTCTAACTTTTGAAACAAATGACAGAAGGGTGAGAGTTACTGCTCGTGCAACATGAGAATGGATTTGTTTTATGCTCGATGGGTTGATGTATGTTCAAGTTATTCGTGGTAAAAAAAAACTAACAAACAACCTTATCGGTGCATTCACGTGCTCCCCGGAACCTTGTATTAGAAGGACACAGTAAACAAAGTGTGTTGTATTTGTGTGTGATGATTCAAACGTATGGACATTCATCGTAAAAGTGTTTTTTATGTTTTTTAAGTTTACAAGTTTTTTGGCGTTCGTGTGAAAATTACCCGGGAGAGAAATAGTTCATGCGTTACTTCCGACACCACGTGAACGCACACGGAGAAAAGTTGTATTAGTTGTTAGAATCAAATGTTTGTGGTTTGTTTAAGTTTTTTAATTTATTTTACAAACCGGGAGAATTATTACAGTGAAGTCATCACAACTTCATCTGGTGTTTTTAATCTAATAATAATGATGATAATCATTTTGAACAAGCTCATTGTGGAGACACATTGATTTGCTTGTGAACGATCTAATGCTGCTGCAGCGTCCCCTGGTGGTGGTTAGAGTTTAATCTCGAGACACAGGAGTAACACAAATTTAGCAAAATATGCAAACTTTATTGACACTCAGGTGCACACTGTACATTTGAAGTTGAGAACTTTGCTCTGGGTAGACAGAGGTTAAGTCTGTGTAACCCACAGGCCCCCACCATCATGATAGGGTATGCAAAGGTATTTATTACCTTCCTGATGTCTTAGCAGTGTGAGAGACCTCCTGCCTTCACGTCTCTGTGGATGATCCCTGGAGTGAGATGCCGGGTGTAATCCCAACAATACACAAAGAGATAAAGTTACAAAGTGATACCATAAAGTTGAGGCTTCACAGAGGCCATAAAGTTAAAATCTCTAAGCAATAATCGTAACCTCTAAAGTTGCCCTTTTAGATAAACAACTGGTCAATCTTCCACACACACACCTGCTCATGCAATAAAACATACACAAATGACAAAATATCCATTACGAAACAATGTGACTGTAGGTTATAGATAAATAGATAGCCTCTAGTGTCTGACATCGTATTGGACTCAGGATCTCACTGGCCCAGTTCTGAAATTCTGAGACCAAACAGCATCTCTGGCACAAGCACACTTCAGTGCTCTTAATTTGAATTACAATTACTTAAATATGCTTTTTTCCTGCAGGTGGTGATTCTACAACTGCAGCATGCAGCCGGGTGAGGCACTGCAAGTTATGTCTGTCACTCTGTGCACGTGGGCTTCCACCTTCAGAAGCATGGCGATGTTTATTTTCTGATGCATTCTCTGTTGTTAGGATTATCAAGCAAAAGCGAGCTCTTTGACTCTCTGAAGGTGTATCTGAACAACAAGAAAAGACTACAACCCATCATTGGTACGTAGCAACAAACACCTGTTTTATTTTGGGTTGTCTGTTGTGCTTGTTGAAATAATCTCTCCTTTCATGTCCTGTTAGGCCTGGGCAGCATCATAGAGTATGTGAAGGCGGGGGCACAGCGCAGAGAAGCATCGTACCTCTGCGAGGTGTGTGTGTGTCGACTTAATAAAGCCGACATGCGTAACCACATCATGGGAAGTCTCCACAGATACAACTACATTGTAAGTAGGAACGTAGGTGTTACGTTCTGACCCAGCGAGGCTTCTGAAATGAAGAGATCTGAGAATAATAGTCTGTTCACTTTATTCTTTGTCAAAGAAGGTCAGACAGTCTAACAGCATGTGAGCATCCTGAAGAGTGAAAGACAAGGAAACACTTGCAGCCTTGTTCTTTTATGCAGCTGAGTGATAATGATCCTAGCGTGTGAAGAGGAGAGTTGTGAAATCCCAGGGTGATAAGAAACAGGCTGAGGGCCTCTTCAAGGTTGAAGTGGAGGAGACGAGTACACCGAGCACCATATCAGAGCTTTGATGTCTCCAGGCCTGGTTTCATGCGGGGCTTAAAACAGATTTTGAGCCAAAACACCAGCAGGGACAGAGATCGTTTTTATATCAAAACGCTGTAGTATGGATGTAGAACAAGTCGTGAAGGCACGTTTGCATGCTGGGTTGGGTTATAGTTAACTAGCAGGTGGTGTTTTGCTTGACAGAAAGCCTGGCACCCCCAGCTAGTGTGTGAATGGAAGGAGAACTCTGACCTGTCGAGGCTTGCCTGGCCACTGATGGAGATTGCCAAGAAAATCGAAGGAAAAGAGGGGAGTGGAGATGTCCAGGTAAGTTATGTTTGACAGTGCGTGTCTTTGTATCTGTTTGCAAACACATGCCTTTCAGATGAGTTCTCACATGTTTTTGCACCTTAACGTGAAGTTAATAGAGGTTGAAGACGTTCTGTACCAGAAGATGGCAACGCTCAGCGAGAATGATGGTCAGTGATTGATCTCGGTCTTCCTATTTCCCGTGTTGGTTTCCCTTTGTTTGGTTTTTTGGAACTATTTCTACACAGTACATATTAGTTATTTTTAATACATATGGATCTCTTTCTCTCTCTAACACTACAGCAGTAACTCTGATACAAACAGTAAGAGATTGGCAGGGTGAACCTGAGAGCCACTCTCAGACTACATCTGTTCAGCTCGAGCAACATTCCCTCCAATCGCAGAGGATTGTGTTGCTCGGTCGCAACCAACTGCTCAGGAGTGAGAGATCCCTCGATGCTGATGTGATCTCGCGTAAGACGTCAACGCAGACCAACAACCCTCATCTGACGCATTCAAGTGCAGCTCCTACTATTAAGTCAGAGGGCTGGTTAACAAACACCTCAACACCACAGTCAAACAACATTGAGGCCACTGTGTTCTCAGAGAACAGCAGCAGCTTTCTTGATGGCTACACAGGAACCAAGCCTCTTATTGGTGAGCACAGATGGAGAACAGCAGCTGTGAGAACGTTTTTACACGTGAACACAAGGCCCAGATCAGACCTGGTTTTAACATCCGTCCTCAGAGAGCCAACCACAAGGGGACAACGCTAAGCACATGTGTGAACACACCCACATTTGTCCTGATCTCTCAGACCACATTCAGAGATGGTCCATGACACATGTAGCCACATTCTTATCACTGTGTGAATGCAATTGTGTCCTGGGCCAAACATGAAGGATCTGATCCGTCACAGTTATACAGTGAAGTAAATATATTTTTACTGTTCCCGGTGACCATACATTGATTTGTTTGTTTGTTTTGTTTGTCGCCACCACCGCAATATCAACACTGATCACCATATGTTGCTAAAATCTTTACTCGGAGCAAAGGTGTGAACATGCATCTTTAAAGCTGTCCACTTGTGATCAGATCACTCAGGATGTGATACCAGGTCTGAAAGGGGTCTAAGACACTTCCTATTTGGTTGATTGATGTTGACATGAAAAACATTGTGGTTTCTTACACCTTTGCTTGTAATAAGTGCTGGACATTAGTACTTCATTTTAGATTTTGTTACTAATTAAAAAAGAAAAGCTGGTTGTATGTGCTCACAGGTCTATGCCGCGTGGTCGAGTGCAGGAGTGACACTGGCTGCACCTATGTTTTCTTATGCCACTGCTGCCGCGTCAGATCCAACAAAAGGGACATCATTGATCACCTGACCGGCTCTTCCCATCTCATCAACTACTTGGTCAGTCTATTGTCTCAATACCTGAAATTTAAGGAAAAGAACATACCAGTTCACTGAAAACATTTGTGTGTAGATGGAAACTCATCCTGAGCAGGTGGAAGCATCGACTGCAGATAATAATGACAGCTTTCTCCAATCACTGGCCGAGAAAGTGGAGCGAGAGGAAGGCAGAGGAGATCTGAAGGTATCGAGTTCACTATTCTGCACAGTTAACCTTGCTCTGGTTATTCTAGGTGTCAAACGAATCGTGTCGTTCACCATCAACGACTACTGCTGTACTCATGTTCTCGCCTCAGTTTTTAAACATCTTATGTTCCCAGGTGATAAACGCACCAGAATCACTCTGTATCCCACTGACTGGCAAAAGTTACCACTGGTGTAAGTACAGATTTGTGTGCTTGTTTTTTGTTTGTGTGGCCATAAACAGGTCTGAGCTCTTGAGGAGTGACTCGAGGTGTAAGTATGACCCGTATTCTACTCTCTGTCCCTTCACAGTATTCATCTATGGTTGCATCAAGTGATACTTCTCAGGCTCTTGTGTTTGAAAACATAAAGATGGCCGACATAACATCCAATGCCCCCTGGTGGCTGGCCTGCAATATAGGTCATAATCCCGCTGCTTGAAACTAGTGGATAGGACAGTGTCTAAATAGCTTTTTCTCAAAAACATTTAATGATCTTAAGTCTTTCTTATCACACTCCAAGTGTTTTTTTTGTTGGTTATACACACAGGAACAGTAACACAGTCACACTACATATGATTAAAACTTTTGGTGTAGATGCATTTTTTAAACCATAGAACCTTGGTGAAAGCCTCTGTTGCCCATGCTGGAGCAACCTAGACACTTTGCAGTCCAGGAAGTGAGATTTCACTGCAAGCTTGTCAAGAAAAAGTTGAACTTCTGTTGCAACATCCACCTCTTTTTATCATCTTCTTTCTTTATTCTCTTTCAGAGTCGTCACAGTTTCAAACACCATTTTGAACAAGAAACTTGGTCTTTCAGTTTGTGTTTTTCATTGCAAAGACTTGACACTTGTGTTTTTTCTTTGTATGCTCCATGTATTGCATTTGTTGTACTTCCAGGTATGAGGATGCTGTGTAATGGATGGAAAACAAGCACCCAAAAAAACAAATTAACTGTCAGAGGTGTGTTTCTTTGAAAGATACTGTGTGGACTGGGGCCAAACCTTTTTCTTTCTTTCAGTAATGAGATATTCTTATTATTTCCTTTTGCTTTTCAACTTGTTTGTCCACTTTACACTCTTTCCTCAGGGCATAGAGTGAACAAGACCTTGGTTGAAGGTGTGACAGAGAAACATGCTGCCCCTCTGTCAAAATGGGTGAAAAGTAAGACAGCGAGGAGGAAGAAGGGGAAAGTGGCTGATACTTTATTTACGGTAAGCCTGCCTCTTACCAAAGGTCCAGTGGTGCTGCAGAGGACGTCTTTCAGCAAGGACAGCCTCCCAGTGTCTCCTTCACCACCACCGGACCCGCACTTCTTCCCATCGCCAGAGTCCGACACTGGCGACCGCGTGTCGGTCTGCGATGCTGGATCGTTTGCCGTTGACCATACTGAACATGACCTCTACAGTGGAGATGCAGAGGACAGTCAATACATGGTTGATAGTTATTCCAGTTATAATGAACAATTCAGCCATTCCAAAGACACAACTGAGAGAGAACACCACAAGGGTTATGTGGAAAGGAATTATAACAGACACCACAGTTCTCAAGAGAGATCAAGAGGGAACTTTGATGAAGGGATGGCAACAGAAGAGCGACACGAACACACGGAGGAGCTGTCAGCTGCCGTCCCCAAAAGTTACATTTTCTGCCCACCTGAGATGGGTTATGCTGAAGAGTGGTATCACCAACAACTGCTCCAAAATCATCACATGGCACCAGATCATATGAGTCCCCTGACAGCCACTGTGGGGCATAGTGGTGAGGTGGCTCGTCATTCAGACGCTGCTCAGATCTACATGTGTCCTCAGTTAGGAGACGCACTTGCTAACAGTGGCAGTGTAGCACCAGATACTAACGTGTACTATCCGGGGACTGAGCAGAGACAAGTGCCAACATACATGGAGTTCACTGCTGGCAATGTCCAGATACGTCCACAATGTTATATGATGCATCCTCTGGCCTATCCTGGTGTCCAAACAGGCCACAGGGCGATGTCTGAGCCCAGCTACGGTGATGGACAGACAACAAAACCTGAATGGTACTTTCCCTATCTAGACAGCAGCGGTGGTGGGGGCATGTCCTGGTCAAATGCTTTCATCCCACCCGTACCATCTCTGTATTATGCAACCCACTCTGATTTCAATCCCAGAGACACAAGGCCGTTGAGGGTTGATGATTTCCAGGGGTGGCGCTAAAACAACTCCATTTATGCATACAACCCAATTTAAATTATGAAGACTGCCGCACATCACAGTTCTACTCAAGTTAAAAGAGTCTCCATGCTGTTGTATTGTGCTCACATATAAAATATATCTAGTTTCTATTAGAAATGTAATCGGAAGGATGTTTTGCCTCAGATCAGAAATCAGACTTTTGACTTTCAGTTTCAATGTTATTTTATGTTATTTTTGTTTGACATATTTTCTTTGACGTGCTTTTAAAAGCAGTTGTTATGGAGAAGATGCGTATTATTTTTTTATTTAGAAAGATATTTGTATTGATAACCTTTGTTATTTATCTATGAGTATTATGAACATGATTCCTCCTATGCAGACAAGATCAAAGATGTGTAAAGTGCTGGACTGGATATATCATTTATTTGCTGTATTTTCAAGTATTTTGTACATTCTCTTGTATCCTAACCAAGTGAAGGAGAGAGACATTTCAGTGTTTTCATTCTTCTGAGTTCTGAGCCAAAGCAGCAAAGTGATAAAAAGAGAGAGAAAGTGTAATCAGGTGTCACATTATACACTGAACTAACACCCACATTTGTTTTTCTGCTGGATCATCATGAATGTTTATACTGAGCCTCAGTAACTCAGAAAAATTGACTTTAAAACCCATCAAATGTGTGATGGCTCACTTTAAGTTTGTGCTCTAGCTAATTGGTTCTACTTTGGGTTAAAAAACCTGAAGCTTATCGTGAAATGTGAAATGTCCTGCTCAAGTATCTGAATAAAGCACCTTTTGAGATTATTTGTATGATGAGATTTATTTTTTGGTAATTTTGCTGTCCTCTGAGGATTGTATTTATGTTGACAATAATGTTTAACCAAATGATATGTCATCAAATATAAATCTATAAAACCTAATGGGGACAGGTAACTTTATGGTATAAAAGAAAATACATGATGGGCCACATGAAAGTAGATATGCATATAATGTAGTAACAGCCACTAAATAGTCCTGTTTTATAGTACTAATGAATTCTGAGCACTCATGGGTCAGACCAATGCTCTGACAGGCAATACGCTCTGTATTTATCTGGGTATATGTGTGTGTTGTCAGTGTAATACTTTGTATTCATTTTTTATTTTGAGTTTTTCTTTTCCACCTTTCCGTCATACTGGCTAGAATACAGCATCCATTGTCTGTGAGGGGATAGTTTGGGTTTTGTGTCTTGCCGGTGATGTGCTCTGTGGTCACATTCATTTACAGCCTATTTATCATGTTATAGTTTTTGCTAAAATGTCTGGTTTTGTCATTATTTGCAGCGTTGCATGTGTTGTGACTTTTTGCAGCGAATGTGTCATCAAATGGAGGAAGTTGGTGTTTTTTGCTATTTGCATGTGTTTTCTTAATTGGCACGTGTTTTTTCCCACTTGCATATGTTGTAATTGTGCAGTGCATTGCTCTCTCTCGGCCACCGTAGGTTAGGGAAGGGGATTATTTGGATTTGTCGAACGCGCCCCTCGATACTCGTCCTGTAATTTCCATCTGACTTGAACGCAGCATACGTGTGACACGGAAGCGCCTGTATCGCAGCCTGGTTTCTCCCAAGCAGAGCCAGCTAGCTAGCTAGCTAGCACAACCAGCCTGGTGTTTGACCCAGGGACGGCGGCGCATGGCTTTTCGTCCGGATAGTGAAACCCCTGCAGTGAGTGGATAACCCGCTGCAGACAGAAACACATCTGGGAGAAACCTCGAAGCTGCTGCCTCTCCCGGCGTCTCCCTCCTCGAGTTTCTCGTCGAAGATGTCAGCTTTCTCCGAGGCGGCTTTAGAGAAGAAACTGTGCGAGCTGAGCAACTCGCAACAAAGTGTGCAGACCCTGTCGCTGTGGCTCATCCATCACAGAAAACACTCGAAGACCATCGTCAATGTGTGGATCAACGAACTGAAGAAAGGTAAGACCGACACGATCAAGCTAGGTCCTCTTTGGAAACACTGCTAACGCGCGTCTGCAACGTACATGGAGCATTCGGCTGCAGGGGCTAACTACGGCTAAAGCGCTATCTCACATTTTAAAGTTGCTGTGCTAACGTCAAACTTATTAGACAACGGGGCTGTTGTCAGCAAAGCAACTGCTAACGCTGGACAACTTTCCAGCTAGCGAGGTAACCATGTTAGATCTCTGTGTGTAGGGCTGCTTAGTTTCGGTGTTAGCCAAGGCTGCTAACACTGACACTGTGATGTTAGCCTTTGTAATCGAGGTCTGTAACTCTCTTGTTGTGATTCCTCGTCATTATTAAATCGTCATTTTACAGGATTCTGTTTCAGCTGCAGCGATGAGAGTGTCTGCGTTATTCTTAACTCACTACTACTTCAAATAAGACATGACAACAACATCTATGCACACTGGTGACCGTTTGCACATTATTAACATAAGGTACACAAATTACATTATATTATGCTATTCCACTAATAATCATCTTATTGAGATAGGCCACCCATGTACTTGCATTACGTTCAGAAACATATTTTGATACTATTGTGATTTCTACATATTTATACCTACATGCTAGATCATGGTGAAGTTATTTATAGCCTTATAAATACACACATACACACCCTGCACATAGCATTTTATACTCCTGTTCAATTTGTGAACCACACCTACTTACAACAGTCTAATATGTCTGTGTAAAGGTTTTATTCAATATTGCCTTATGCCAATGCACAAATGGCGTTCATGTCCTCGAGCAATCATCCTGTGCCACTGCACTTTACTTAAGTACATTTCTCAACAAACACTTTTCCCATTGTGAAATGTACATATTTGTATTTTTAATTTATTTAGTTTTTATTTAGTTGTCTAGCTATAGACAAGTGTTTACTGCTTGTTCTACTGCCCTCAAGTGACCAACAGATCATTTAATGTAGCTTTAATGATCAAATGTTTAAAATGTGGATTTCCGACAGAAAACACAAACAGGCAGGGAATCATTTATGTACCGCCATTGACTTTGCGTGAGTAGTATGAGCCACAATAAAACTCACCTGAAGTTGTATGTCGTGTTTTTGGCATTTTTAAACTAACAATAATAATAATACTACTTTAAACAAACTAATTGAGCACTGAATTACAAGAATTAAAAGGGGTAGTGTGACCGTCCTGGATCAGTTCGATCCCCAGTCGGCATGCTGAAGTGTCCTTGGGCAAGATGCTGAACCCCTAATTGCCCCTCATAGAACAAAACAAGTGCTGCTAATAGATGCACTGTATGAACGTGTGTGTGAAAGGTAAACTGTACTGTAAAGCACTATACAAATACAAACCATTCAACCTCAGATGTCAGCAGCTGCTACCGCTGGTTGTAGCTGCTGGGATGGGCGTAGTGAACATTTCTCCTGGGAAGTTTAGCTGCTCCCACAGTGGTTTCACAATCATCTCATATTTTAGTTCTGTCTCTTCTCTCAGCAGAACAGGCAAACAAATTCTTTCAAAAGTCTCAAATGTTCCACTGAAACTCAGGATTCAAGAAACATTGTGGTCAGTCAGTCAGTCAGTCGAATACATTTAAAGTGTAGCATCTGAAAGAGTAATATAAACTACATGGTTGTGAATTAAAGTTGTACTGTGAAAGATACTTTTAGTGCGACACAGTGGTTTTTGTAAATGCTTCAATCCATTGAGAAGTCAAAACAGCTCCATCATGTCAACGTACTATTTCACACTGATTTCACACAGTATAACCTCTGGATCGCTATTTTAGTTGTATATTGAATGTGATTACTTTCTGGCATATTATTTTCCATCATTGTCCCCATAGTGTAGTTTTTATTAGATATTAGATCGTGTTTTGAAAATTGGTCTGTAACTAAAATATAAGGGGAAGCTTATAGATTTACGGGTTACAATTCAAAGCACGTCAGGTCAAAGAGTTAGATCAACCTGTAATTTATTACTGTAAACAGTTACATAATTGAGCTGCTGGGAATATTTTGGGCATTAAAGCCTGCTGCATTGCTGTAGTTGTATCTAATATAGTTTCCCTTTTCCTTAGGGTGCTACTCAACAACCTAATGATATCTCAAGTGGCTGTTGTATTTTAGGAGCCTTGTCGGAGGACTGAAAGGAGTGTGCAGTGGGAATAGACATGGCACAGTCCTCGGGAGCTTTGTGCTGAACAACAACAACAACACATGAATTTTTACTTTAATGTCCTCACTGTATTTATGTTGGTGGATAAAATCAAAATGGAAAAGACTAAAAACCAGAAGCTTTGTGATAGTAGCAGTATTAGATTTAAAAATGTTTCTACCACCAAAGCTTATATGTAACAATTGTGAAACCGTGTGATAGGTGGTTGTTACTTATTTGTTTTTGTTCTTATTTGTGACTGACGTGATTAATAAGAAAGAACCTCAAAGCATAATGGTCTGGCACTAAAAATTAAATCAATACTTACTATGCTGACAAATAGATCATTACTTAGAAGTTAATAAAAATCAGTGTATTTATTTTAACCAGATGCGTATGTGCATTTGATTTCATGCAGCTCAGGTACCACGCAAGCTGACCTTCCTCTACTTGGCCAATGACGTCATTCAGAACAGCAAGAAAAAGGGGCCAGAGTTCACTCAGGACTTTGCACCAGTCATCGTCGATGCATTCAAACACGTGTACAGGTCAGATTTAACATTTCTACAAATATATCGAGCTGTGTTGAGATTTTTAATTTAAATTTGACAATTCAAGGAACTGCTCAGTCAGATTTCTTCAAGAATGATTGACTGAAATTCTTCAGAATTGCTTCTGAAAATGAGAGTACCTTCCATTCAAATGGGATGTGTACATTATCCAGTCTTCACAAAGCTGTAAAATGTGTCTGTCTCCTCTGAACTGTTTCCTGTGCAGAGAGGGCGAGGAGGGCTGTAAGAAACAGCTGGGTCGGGTTCTGTCCATCTGGCAGGAGAGGGGCGTGTACGAGAACAGCCTGATGGATCAACTCTCACAAGTCTTGTGTAAGTTCACTCAACATCTGCACCTGTGCACCCTACCATATCTACATATTTGCTCTTAACAACAATACATTACTACTTACCCTGCTTGTAGACAGCAACAAGCCTCACTTCCTTTGTCCTGTGAATCTCAGATGGCGAAAGAAAGGCTAAGAAGAGGTCGTATGAGCAGATCCGACCAGATGATGACGACTTTGCCTCCCAGAGCTCTCCAGCTGAGCCCCCACAGGTACTGATCCAGACAAACACTGAATACATGAGTACAGGATGTAAATGAAATGATACCTTAAACCTTGTACAGCTCATTAAATGACACTTCATACAGCGACTTCTGGATGGATTTGTGTCTTGTTACTTTCTCTGCTTTCTATCAAATGTTGTTCATTTTTGAGAGATACTTTTCACAACTAATCTTTAACCATACACTCTTCTTCTGTCACTTCTCTCCTCATTTCTCTTCTTTCACCTGCCACCTTAGACAGCAGATTTAATCCGAGCTCTGCAGGAGCTGGAAAACGCAGCCTCTGGCGACTCAGTGCTGCGTCAGCGAATCTCCTCCCTTCCTGCTGAGGTGCAGGACACGTCACTGCTTCATAGAATCACAGGTACGAGGCAGGACACAGCACGTTATCTGTATACAGACTCACCCAGCACTTATAAGGTACCACATACCAATACTTGGAAACATTCCTTTGAGATTTGAGTCCATGTTGACGTGATGGCATCTCATCATTTCTGCAGATTTGTCAGCTACACAGTTATGTGGCTATTTGATCGGATCTGGTCACAGAGGCCACTGAAGTTCACTCAACATATTCTCATGTTCATGAACCAGTTGGAGCAGTCGTTTTCTTAGTGTCATGCATAATCATGGCGGTAGTGGCCATTAGAAGATGGTAAATCGTGGCCATTAAGGGATGCACATGGTCAGCAACATTACTCAGACTGGCTGTGGTATTCAAACAGTGATTAATCAATATTAAATGGCCCAGAGTTCAAAAATAAAACATTCCCCACACCATTATAACACAACAAGGCAGGTTAGGTTTATGGATTTTGTTCCACCGTGCCTCAGCAGAAATCCAGATTCATTAGACCAGGCTGTGTTTTTCTAGTTCTCATCTGTCCAGTTTTGGTGAGTCTATGTCCTCTGTAACCTCAGGTTTCTGTTCCTGAAGTATGCCTGCTGCACACTGGAGGATTTTCAAATCTTAACTGGTTTTAAAATAAGTGTGAGACCACAGACATAATGACAACCAGTTCTTGTTTGTGTCATCAGACAAAAGTCTTATTTCCAAACATAAGTATGTGACATCTGGTCGATGACGCTTCCCATTCTGCTCGCTTTCATTCGTGTTTGTGGGATTCGCTCACTCCCCAAATCGATGATCTGTTCATACTTCACGGGTCAGTTATCCTCTAATGTGGCGTCACCCATCCACTCCCAAGTTTCAATTTGCTGTTCATTCTGAGCAGCCTCTCTGCTCACCACAGTTACTGTAGCCTGCCTGTCACTTTGTCCTCTGATCTCTCTCATCAACAAAGTAATTCCAGCAGAACTGCTGCTCACTGGGTGATTTTTCTTTTTGGAACCATTCTGGGTAAACTGAAAGACTTCTGGCTCCAGAAATCAGGCCATAGTCAAAGTCCCTGAGGTCTGTATCGGCATGATTTTATTCATTGCAGCACTGCCACATGATTGGCTGCTTGGATAGCGACATGAAGAAGCAGGTGTACTGGTGTCCCTGATAATGGGCTCAACCATTTTAACCTAGTATTTCTTCAGAGGTTACTAATCTTCCCCTAAAGAAACAAACACTTAAACCAGGATGCACAAAAGGGCTAAAAATGGCTCCATCTATCACAGGACACAATGTTTGAGTTGCCAGTGATTATACAGTGTCTGTTTAACCTTGTGCCTGTACTGATGGTAAACTAAGGACCTCCACTTGAACTCTCTACACTAATAATATTTAGGCATTGTGCTCCCTGTGTGCTTCCTGTGATTGCAGATAAAGAATCAGGGGAGCGGCTCTCCCGGCTGGTGGAGGAGGCCTGCATGCTGCTCGCAGACTACAGCGGTCGCTTGGCAGCAGAGATAGACGACAGGAGGCAGCTCACGCGGACACTAACCGTCTTCTTGCAAAGCCAGAAGGATGGCTTGGCCCAGAACGAGCAGAAACTCGAAGTGCGTAAATCACTTTCTTTCTTTCCCACACATGCCTCGCCCTCCTCACCTTTGTGTCATTAATCATTAATGTTCCGTCTGTCTTGTTCGTTCACATTTTGAAGTAACATCACTTTTCATGTATTTCAGCAGAGTGCCCCGTCTGTTATTTCAATGTGAGTGTTTGGGCTTTAACTATTTGAACAGGAAATATTCAACATTAGATCAATACGCCTCAAGTGAGATATTCTCTCGTCACTGAAATACTCAAAGCCTTTTTTATTTAGTTCACTTCGGTGCCATACGGTAAGTATCATTCAGAAAAGAGAGTGATGAAGTTCTGTCCTCGAAAAAACCTATCTACAGAGTTTCTTGTTTTTCGTAACCATGACAATAATGCTTTGTTTGTTTGACATTAACTGTCTAGCCTTTATCCACAGGAGGCCAAGAGGATAAAGTGTCTCATATTTCTATCTTCACCCGGTCAAGTCTTCTGTAATAAAAAAAAAAAATGAAAATAAAAGATGAAAATAATTTTGTGAGTGCTTTTCTTCTACACTTGCAGCTCCTGGGGGTATTTGCATTATTTCATAATTTTTTTGTGTTATTGACACAGTGAAAACCTAAACACCAAGTTTCAATTGAGCTCAATATGCTCATATACAGGTGAAACCAACGCGTGAGGAAAGAAATACAACAAGTGTTAAGAATCCTGGTTAAGACACTTTGACTCTTACTGAGCTCTAAAGCCTGATCTGAGCTCTGTTTGCACAACAACCTACACGTATCAGCTGTCACACAATCAATACAATAACGTCTTCGAAGTGACGTGTGCAGCAAAACTGGAGCAGAGATAAAACACTTAGTGTCGTTCTTTAAGGTGTCAACATTTCTGCATATTCATGAACGAGGGTGAAATAATTTGTTTGTGTTGTGTCATGTTGCTCTTCAAATGTCATACACACCAACAGATCCTTTATCATTCCTTTACTGCTGTTGGTTGAAAAACAAGTTGAAACACTTATGTTAAAACTTAAGTTAATAATTTATTCTCTTGAAACTGAACCATGTTATAGGTTGAGTCATATACACATACGCACACATGCTCAGTAAAGTAAAATGTGTTAAAAGCACAAACCTTCTCATTAACATGGTGTTCTCAGAACTGACTGATGGAAATCTTTTGAACTTGATTGATCAAAACTTCCCTCAATGCTTAAACACCACTCCACCAATGTAGCACAAAGTTATTCTACTATTTATTTATATTATTTCCATTTTCATGCTGTCCTCTTATTCTTGATTTAGATTTTCTTAAATCATACATCAGCCTGTTATTTATTCCTGTCTACTTCTAGCTCATAATATTTCTGTTGAGACTATAAATGAATCCAAAAAGTGCAATGAGCACTGTGCTCTTCAAACTCTCATGGACCTTTTCCTCTGTGGACTTTTTTCAGGAATACAAACGCAAACTGACGAGGGTCACCCAGGTCCGCAAGGAGCTGCGTTCCCGTCTGAACAATCTTCCAGGACGACTCTACAACTCCTCGGACTGACTGAAGTTTCACCTCCTGACCTTATACTGGACCCTCCTGCGACTGAAACGTCTCCACCTGCATCTTAGATGTTCGATCAGCGGGCAACGTCACTGAGCCTCTGTTTTTGATTTTGGAAAGTGTCTTGCGTGTCCCTGTTTGTTGACCTGTGGTTTTCTTTCTGTCTTGGAACAGACTTATTTATCCACATGGCTTTTGTTAACAGAAATTTGTTTTTTTCTGTTTGTGAGCTCATCTCTTCGTGCTGTTAATCAGTACACTGTACACTAAGACTTCTAATCCTCAGACACAGGCCTCCCATGCTTTGGCCCCTGACCATCAACCTTTTACAGCTTCACAGTGGTATGGATGATGCTGGTGTGATATTTTTGTATTTATAGCACAGTGAGACAATAATGCACCAGAGTATATGCCCTAAGTGTTACCAGTTTCATTGTTTGGATTGCTGACATAGCTTTCTTTCTCTTTGTAGCTCCTCGTTTTAGGTGGTTGCAGCAGCTTTTTACATACTAGGATGATTTTTTTTTAATGCAGTGTGATATGACCTCCAAAGAGAATTGTGTACTTTGGAAATCATTAGGAAACCATATTCCAAGGCTGAGATGAAAGCCATGAGCCTCAAAGCAAACATATGTAATTATAATTTACATAAAGCCTCTTTGTGAGAGGGCTGTGTATCATTGGTGATTGTAAATGGCATGTAAATATAATGGAGTTATACCTTTAAGCCCTCATTATTTCTATCATCATGGCCATTCAGACAAAGTTAAGATTTGCCTCTTTACAATTATATATTGGTAGTTGCCCATTACACCCAACAGGATATTGAAACAATGAATGAAGGTGTCTGTTGTCTTGTTTACCATCACATGATTGATGATTTTACCCTCAAGTCTTCTGTATGCTGTGCCGACACCTTGCACAGTTTGGTGCGAGCCCTGGTTTCCCAAATCTGATGTAAAAGCAGCCGTTTGTTTTTGTGGCTATGGAGCAAATTAGTCTAAGAACCAAAATAAACAGAAAATGTTCAAATCCCTTCAGTCCTGTCCTGGTACTGTGTGTAGTGATTGAGACTCGTCCAACAGAGGGTGTAAGTGGACACCTCATCAACCATGGTTGTACATCCATGTCACCAATGTTCATTGTTTTTTACAGGGTATGATATTGCCTTTGTTTTTATTATGGAGGCGATGGGGTAACAACGACACCATGCAGGCGTCATGGGGTCAACAGCTCGATCTCAGGACGTAAACATTTTTCATGAATTTGGTTGAAAATAAAAGAGGATGACCAGATAGCAAAAATAATCTGGGCTTGGGTCGGTGGTCTTTAACACAACAGGGTTCTTTTATCTGGGCCAGACCTGGGCCAGCTCCAGCCTGGATACATTCACCTGGTCTGGTGCAGGACTGGGTCAGATTAGTTTAGGTCACGACAAACTAAATTCATCCATGTATCTAATTGGAAAGAATCAAAACGGAAACATTGACACCTGCAATTAGACTGTGGAGGTGGGTGTTTTTATTTGAGCTAAAATATATGAAGTATATTTATTAGGAACTCAGTTATGTTATGTTATGTTAAAAAAAATCGTGTGCACAGATGTGAGAATATTTTAAAACACATCTTCACTAAGGTATTCCATAACACCGCGGTAGATGGCGATAATGTTCTATTTTGTTGCACATCGCCAAAGAAGAAGAAGATAGTGTAAGTACACTCCAGTCCAGTAGGTGGCGGTAATGTACGTGTAACCTCGCTAAAACAACCGTCGTTTAAACTCGTAGAAGAAAGCGAAGCTAGCGTTAGCAACGTAGCACACGTTAACAAGCTGTAAGCGAGGTTTTGTAAAGCTTTACCACTTCACACGTCACCATTAACGCGTTTAACTGCTCTGTTCCGCTCGCTAACCAATTAAACCGCAACACACCCGAAAATGGACAAACTGGAAACACCCTACGATGTTGAAGCTGACTTTATTGACTGCACGGTAAGCTAGCTAACGTTAGCTGCATTTTATGTGTCTATTTTAGTGTGAACAAAAAAGAATCTGTCCTTCACGTGTGTCTACTCTCAGTTTTTAAGGGAACAAGTCATACTGTCATACATATTGGTTGATGCAGCAAACCGGAAATAAGCTTCTCCTCCACCCCTATAGGTTGTTGATGGTGTTTTAACTAACTGGTTATTGCTGAGGTTGTTATAGATGAGTTTAGAGCTGTTTTCACTCAATACATATTTTAAACCTTGTATTCAGCTCTGGTGGTGATCGTCCAACGTGTTCTGTTTCCCTCCAGGTCTGTGATAAAGCCATAAGGGGAGACACCTTGTACAAGATACACCTGACTACACCAGGGCATATAAAGGTACACAGCACCGTGTACTGGCGCACAAAGCTATGCAATATAAACTTGTGTTGAATATTAGCACTGAAACACACAGCGATTGAACTGAAGTGTACTGTGACCAGTGTTTTTTTAATTTGACCCCCTGATGTTTTTGCTCCTTTCATTCAACAGTCATCACTCTTCCACAGTTCAAGGAAACGGTCAAAGAAGTAACTAAGAGGCTTTCAAAAGTGATATTTCACTTTCTTTCACAACTGGTGGCAACACTCTTTTCTCTTGTGTTGCTGCTTGTCTTCTTGTGTATCCTGTGACGTTACTTGTCTCTGTACTGTCAGATGAACAATGCATCTTTTGATGTCAAAGCAATATTACTTGGTGGTAAGACACGTCTCCTCGGTCAGACTTGAAACTGACATTCTGTGGACATTTTTCAGTGCCGATTTTACATTCTTGTATAGTCTCCAGGTTTTGTCTTTGACCTTCATGAAGACAATGTCCTTGCCATTTCTTCTGCTCTGTCCCTAAGGTGTGGACTGTTAAGAGTTATGGTATACAAGAAGGCAACATATGAACACTTGTAGATCTCACTGACTTTAAGACTTGATCTGTTTCCCTCATGTCTGACAGCAGATGCAGATGTAGGTTTTTTGTTTGGAAAAACGTCTGTAACTGATCTGCCTCAATCTTTCGATCCTCTATTCCTTGCTTGTTTCAGATGAAGGATATCCTTGAGACATTGTCTCACATCCACTTGTAAACATGTTCTGGCAAATATGGAAATGTATGTTTTCCACATCCCTTTGGAAATGTGCCAGTCTTGTAAGAGTTCTGGAAATCTGATGCCATGGCTTTTGATTCCACAAAAATTGCATCAACACACCAAAGTCAAGCAAAAGTCAACGATGTTCTTGCAAGACTCTGAAACTGGCGTCACTTACAATGTTTTCACCTACTTAACCACTGGAGTGTCACACATGGAAGACCAAATATAAATGAACATGGTCAATGCTTTGCATCACAGATGTGAAGGCATTTTGGATGCCTACACTGTACCAACAACAGCAGCAACAGTCCTGTCAGTGTCCATAAAGGATGCATTCAGTGACAGTACTGCTGTGTGGTCAGCTTCATTTTGGTTGCACTTCCTACCAATCCACAGTCACTGTAGTCATGTCTTCTTGTTTGATAAGAATGGAGTTCTGAAAATAAGCCTCAGATCTGAGGTACAATGTCTACAGGTCTTGCATGGGAAGGGCCTGTTTCATCTGGACCTTACTTTGTGTTTGAAAATAAAAGGTCCCACCATTAATGAATAGTTGAACCCAGTAGGTGCAATGAATGGAGAAATATCAAGTTGCTTGACAATCGGATAGCATCTCTTTTTGCTTGTGATGAAGAAAACTGGGCGCTGCTTCTCTCCATATGGAAATCAATTGTCACATTAAATTAGGTCTATCACAGTTTTTGTAGCAAGGCAGTATTATACATGTAATAATGTGAAGGGGGACATGCTCATGTCTCCTTTATTTTCTTTTGACCAAGTTATTAAAAAAAACAACTCAAAGAAGACAGGTGAGGATATGGACTTTTACTGCACCTCAGATGAGCTGTGGTTTTGATCAACAATCACGCGCAAAAAATGTTTGTTTCCATGATATTAACCGTTCTCTGTTTTTAGTAGAGGTGAACTCTAACCAGTGTCCTGTTTATCCAGCACTAATTGACTTGATTTTAATTGCTCTCCTTTCATTCCTGGCAGAAAGAGCAAGGCTTAGTCCCTTCGGGTAAGTAGACATCATCTTTAGCCTTGTCATTTTGTTCTATTCTGGCCGTGAGTATATTTGCTGTCTTTTCAAGTGAAGGAGATCACTATAATCTGTTGACCTGTTTAAATGGATGGCATTATTAGTTCAGATCCATAAAGGTTCTGTCAAAACAAAGGACATGTCATCATGTGGACCATACCACACCATAATGTCCCAGCACCACAAAGGCAGGTATACAAACATAATGGTTTCTCCTTAGTTCCATTCAAGGGAATCTTGACTTGCCTTCACTGAGCCCTGAACTCGTCCCTGTGAACACCTTTTGGGTGACACTGACCTTATTGTCCAACATCAGCAACCAACCTCACCAGTGCTCTTGGCTCAATGAGAGCCAAACCTGGTCAGGTTTCCGGTCTCTGAATTAACTAAACAGCTTCATAAATTCAGCAGCTCTATGGCCAGAGTAATGCAAGTCCTGTAATGAACAATGTGCCACAACTGGCCCAATCACACTGGTTTTATACTGGCTACTGAGAGTGGCCAGAGCATGCCCCAGCAGCTAAGTGGAGCTGCTTGCTCACTAAAATCAGCCCAATCTGCACACCCAAAGCAATGGATACCATCCTTTTGACTGTGTACCTTTTGATGCCACTTGTTATTTGTGGTTGAATTATGCTGGAAAGATTTAAGTCCTAGATGACTGATGGATGGGCAGTGTTCTCCTCTTCCTTTTAATGTGCTGCACAAAATAAGTCAGTTCAGAGTCTTCTACTGTAATCCCATAATATACACTGGGCTTATAAAACACTACTGCAGTTTTTGTTGTGTTTACTGGTTGGATGAGGAACTTTGTGTATACTCCTGTCAGTCACTGATTGTTCTTGCATTCACCAGCGGTAGAACACTGATTTAGCTGCAATGGATCGAGCTTCAGACGCAATGGCATCTGCTTCACAGTGGGGTCTGGTGAGAGGCCTCTTCCACTGCATAGGCCTTTTTGTCTCTGTGCAGGCTATAGGCAGCCCAGAAGGCAATATATTTTCTCCGTCCCATTCTCTGTCTCGCCTTGTGGGGATTTCTTCAAATTTGGCACAAGCGTTCTTTTGAACTCAAGAAAGAACTGATTGGATTGTGGTGGTCAAATGTCAAAGTCATTGTGTAATCATAGACCTTTTTGGCCCTGTGACAATAGTTGATTATTGTGCCTTTGTGCTGGTGAAAGGCAGCTCAGAGGGCATTGTGTTTTTTGGGATCTGTCCATCCGTCCACTTGTCAGACCCATTCTCATGAATGCAGTATCTCAGGAGCGCAAAGAGGGGATCACGAATGTTCATTTGGACATAGTTGGGCTGATAAGAATTTGGTTGTCAAACTACGGTCAAGGTCACAAGCATTTGTGGCCATTACTCAGGAATTATTGCGCTTTTCATTATATTTCAGATCTGTTGTTGGCCACAAATGGACTTTCCTTACACTAGGCACCAAAACCTACTGTAGCCAAACATGGGGGCTGCATATTAGCAGAGCAGGCTCACGTTCCTGTATTCTGGTGCTGCAGCATTGAGCTGCAATCATCCTGATTTGGTTGATTGCTGGCTATGGAATTAGATAAAGTATGCAAGTAAATGCAGAGAATTTTCTTATTAGTACTTGAAATGTCAAAAACATATAATGTATACTGGGCATCAAACCAGCTGACTGATCCAATCGTCCGTGTCAGGTTAGTTTGAGTTAATGTGGTGTGCTCATACTAAAAGTGAACAAGCTTTTGTTTTCATCTATTTTTGGGGATTTCTTTTGTATGGTTGGATAAAAAGCTGGAAGTTTCCTGTACTGTTGGGTAATGGATGTCACAGGAGGCCAAGACTGTAATGCCTCGACAGGCATTTCTTTACCAGAAGACTAAAGCATAGCAACATGCAAAATACAGAAGATTACGTCCCATGTTTGTTTCAAATGGTTCACTTCTGTGTTGATGTTGAGCAGAATTTAAACATGTTCAATGTGAAAAGAAGAGTTCCACCCATGTTGCTGTAGGTACAATACAGCGGTCTTTGCTTATTACTTCCCTTACACATGTTGGCCGGTCATATGCATAGGAGATGAGATCATCCGCTAACACTAAGGGAGAAGAAAAAAAAAAATTAAAGTACATTACAAACATCAAATTAAAACTAAGGAACGTTGCTGTGATCTGATTGGCAAAGTGAATCTGTCTTTCAAGAACACACTAGTCTTTGACATTTAAATCTGTCTCTGTTGTAATATTTTATTTATCTAACTACCAGTGTTTTTACTTTCTTAGGGGTTGCAGCCAGAAAAAGCAGCATACCGGATTTTAAGGATATTTTACATTATCTGGAATACGTGAAGCTCAATGAGCCCATCATTGGTAAATAAGCTGAAACATTATGAACAATTTCTATTTTTTCCCATGTTAATTTAATTACCATGTAACTGTTTTTCTTCATTAATTTCTTAGGTTTGAGCTATTTGGAAGAAGTCCCTTGTGATGATGCACAAGCAAACGTCAGATACTTATGTAGGCTTTGTCATCTGACTGCAAACCTGATAGAAATGGTCCACCATGTGATTGGACGTAAACACAGGCAGAAATATGTGGTAAAGCCTTGTGAACATTTTCAGAAAACATCTCATCTTTCTTTGAATTTTTTAATTAAGAGGTGTGAACCAAGTGAATACGACTTCCCTTTGTGTTTATGTAGGAAATAAAACGGCCAGACTTGGTGACCTGGGATAAACAGTCTGTAATGTACCAAGGAGGAAAGATCATACGAGCCAGAGCAGAAATAGTGGAGCGGCAGGATGGACGTGGGACTCCCAAGGTGAGACATACAGATTAACTAAACACCTGAATATTATAGATAATACGTGCATTAATATCATATTTTTATAGTCATATACCATATTTTTTGTTTCTTTTTCAGCCAATGGCAAAAGAAGGAAATGAAAGCAAGTCAAAAACATCAAGAGGTAGATTCATCTTAATTTCCAGTTTTATATTAAAAAAAAGCTAGAACCTTGTAGGACTTTCATTGTCTTTCATCATCCAATTGTTTTAAGACAGACTTGGAAAACCTTGAACATCTCCTTTCTAAGTTATGCCTTACATATAATGCTTTTAAGGGAATCTGTGAAATGCATCCTTATTATGAAACACTGCATATGAGCAAAACTAAATCTAATCATTTCTGAACAAAAGATTAAATGACCACTGCTATTGGGACAATACTTGCTTTTGAAGAGTTGCAGTTCCAGCATGTAGCATATGGGTCAGGGCCATTGCATCTGTAAAAGAGCTATTTATAAGAAATATGCAAATGAGTCTGTTGTAAAAAAGTACTTAAACTCTGTGTTTACTCTTGTTCCGTAGTTCCCCCAAGGCAGAAGCAAAATAGAAATCAAAATATTCCACAGAGTTTTAGCCCAAAAGATGTGCTACCACTCTTTCCAGAATTTAAGGGCAATAAGGGTGAGTACTCTGACCGAGGGTACCCGGATATGCCCTCATTCCAACCAGATGACCCTTACATGAACAGAGACAGACAGATGTACCAACGGAAGGACAGTCTCAGCTGCGGATACATGAAAGACGAGCTACGCAGTGCAGATTACAGGGATAACAACATGTACAGACAAGAATTTATGGACCCTGATAATCGCATGCAATATGAAGAGGAATATGTAGAAGATCCACAAAGACGAGACGGACACGAGCCATGTGGTGGTACCAGGTATGATCCTAGGGAGGAGGTGCCAATGACTCATGGCCAGACTCAGCATTTAGATTATTTTCCAGAGGAGGCTCCTCCTTACAGAAGACCCCACCCAGAAAGAGATGCTCTCAAGGAGTTCTACTCTGAGGAAGTTCGGCGTCGCAAAGCCCGTCCTGAGGGTGAGCCCTCGCAGTCGGCGTACACAGAGGATGAACGCAGGTGGTCTGTGGACAGACATAGCAATATGAGTAGAGCAAGTGGGCGAGGATCGAGTGAACCAGAGGCTAAGAGGAAGAGCTTTTCCACACCTGTGGAGCATGACCAGTCACATAATCATTTGTTTGATATTATCAAAGATTACAGGCACAAAAAGGGAGAACTATGCGAAGAGGTAGTTTCTAACCCTGGGCCGATCAGAACAGGACCCCCGTCCTCCCAGAGACGAGGGGACGTTACTAAGAACATATCTGGCATCCCAGAGCCATTCAGGCGCTTTCTGACGGGGGCCACTAATGATGAGGGATGTGAGAAAAGAAAACGAAAAAGTCGTTTCTCTGATGCCACTGCAGAGGAAGTGGAAAGGACAAAGGAGATGTAAGTGATAATGCACCTGGTTATTAATCTGTGAATCTAAAGAAATGTGAATCTTTTATATATTTTATTTCCTGGTGTTTTTATCTTTGTACTATATTTGTCTGGACATGTTTGTTTCATCCTAAGTTTCAGTGAAGAATATGGACCATCAAATCCAAAGTTCGGTGGTTATCCGAGATCAGTTAGTGAGTCAGTGCGACCTGAAATCCATGGAACACAACATCCTGACCTCTACACACAACCACAGGTAGCTTGTTGTAAAATAAACAATTCTGATTACTAGATTTCCTACTTGTAATAACTGTAATTAAAAAACATGCTCTCACTTATTGTTTATCAAACCTGTTGTTTTTAGAGCCCACATCATCCTGAAAGCTACCACAGAGAAGGATTGGAGTCAGAGGGAGTCTTTGATTTGCTGGTAAAATCCTACATATTATTTTAGAAAACACTTTGTCTCTTTTCCCTGTCTCTTCTGTTGCTTTGGTGTCCCTGTAGGAATATAACTGCTTTGAAATGTGCTATGTAGATACAATTATTATTATTATTATTATTACAATATCAGTATTTTGAATACACACAGCAGTTAGGTGTTTGTTTGCCTGCCACTCAGATGTGGAGGGTCTTATGTCTTTTTCCCTGTTCACTTTCCCCCTCATAGAAAGGAATTGAAATTGAGAATGCAGAGGAGGCTGATTTCCTGAAGAACAAACTTTGCAGCCTTCTGAGAGAATTTAAGTCCAAAAAATCAGAGAAGGCAGTGGTACGTGTCACTCTGCACAGCTCAGGTCCTTCTAATAAACTAGTACTTCAAATCTCTGCAAAAACTTTAGCGATGAATGTGTTTTCGTTGTTGCAGCAAATCAGCCAAGGCGGAGCAGTCCCCAAGAACGATTACAACAGCTTGAAGCCAGACCGGGAGCTTTCTCCACGACACCAGTATGAGAGAACACGCAGAGAAGATTCAGACCTTCGACGAGCACAAGACATACGTTTCCAAGATGATTCCAGAGGACGTGGCTGGCAGCAGCAGGAGTATGTGCCTGACGAACAGCGCCAGGAATACCATCATTCTGCACGCAAGGAACCCACACCCTCGAATAGAAGCCGCTATGAAGGTAACTTTATTATATATATTGTTATATAACATAATAACATTCGGTTTTGCTTAATGATTTTCTATTTGCTGCATACCAGTCATTGATAATCATATTTTTGTCACTTTCTTATTTGAAGGTTATGTGCTATTGTAATTTTATGATATGATAAATATACTCATCTTTTATTTAACAATAAGCTACATATTTAATGAAACAATAATCATGTGTTTTCCACACTTGGCATCTTCCCCCCCAGAGGCCTTTGGGCGTCCTGGAATGTCTCGGACACCTAATGTTCCCTATTCAGATGAGCCAGTATATTTCCCTGAAAGGTTTCAAGAACCCAAACACCCTCGTGGCTACCGACCCGCTGCTGAGGAGTATTTCAACTGTCCCTCAGCTCCCCAACACATGGTCGAAGAACCCAGGATGCAGAGCGGCTCCCGGTTCTCCACGCACCTGGACAAAATAACCTCCACCCTCCTGGAACTTGTGGCAAGAAAACAACCATGAGATTTCTGCAGATGTTCTGTAAAATAAATATCCATTCTTTGGTGTAAAATTTTGACTTTAGGTTAAATCACCTTTGTTTGCTTTAGACTTTTCTGAAGAATTGGTTTCTTGAATTATTTTTTATGTAAAGATTAAAACAATTGTCTACTGCAGCTGTCATGTTTCCCACATTTTCAAATTACTGTTACCACCACCAGCAAGAATAGTGATGTTGTAAATGATTTTCCAATAGTTATGTCCTAATAATTCACCGAATTAAATTTGTCTTGACTCAAGTGGAACTAACTGATGTTTGTAGACTATCTAATGCAGGTTTTTATGAATAACGTGGTCCCATGAAACCCATATACAGAATATTGAATTGGTTCTATTCTTCTTATTCTTATTAGCAACAGTGGCTACATGAATATACTTCAGTGTATTACCATAAAAGAGTGTGGTTGGACATTAACAGTAGCACGTTAGCTGCCTCTTAAGAATTCACTTCACTCTCGGTGACTAATAAAGAGATTCATTTTAAGATTAATTATAAAACTCACATTTCCTTTTCAATTTAGCGAATTAATTAAATACAGAGTGGAATTTGTGGAAAGAGCATGGGCTTACGTCACTGCTGCAAAGGCTACGTGTCTCCTACGTCACCACGTTCGTGCGTCCAACTCTTTCCGGTTCCAATAGCAGCCATCTTGTTTCCCCTTGCTAGCTAAATAAAATAAATAATACGCCGAGTCGGACTTCACCTCGAACCCGTAAAACAAAGTGAGTAAGGAATTCATTTTCGTGTTGTGTGTGGAGGGTGTGCTGTAAAGCAGCCGGCGGTAGGTGGAAGCGGAGGCGATTACTTCCATTGTTTTCATTTGCCTGTTCTTGACCAATAGACGATTGTTTTGGAAGATGAACACAGGCGCCATTTCCCTCCCCGCGCTCTGAGGCGCTTATTGGTGGCCCGCTGAAGGGATCACGGGTAGGTCGGGAAACTGGCGCTTCGTGTCCACCATGTTGGCTCTCGCCTTGCGTGACTGTCACGCGGACCGGCCACTTCTAGCTGGGGCCCCGAATGGCGTCAGTTGCAGAACGAGCTTAGCCCTAAAAACCTTGATTGGTGGAATCTAGTCCGAGGTTTGATTGGTCTGAAGGACAGATCCAAACGTTGTCTTTATTGGTTAGGCTGCTTCTTCCCAGCTCCGGGAAGCGGTGCAAACTTTCATTTGATGGCAAGACACGTTGACCAGTGATTATAGTTGCACTCACTGCGGATGGTCACCTGTGCTGTACAACAGTCTCCATCTTTAGCATGCTAACATTATCTTCACCAGCGTTAGCATGAAGTCACGCTAGCTGCCGGTGCTAAATGTGTGTTTAGAGCTTGTTGTCCTACGCGTTTAGCAGCCGGCAACGATACACTGCTTTTAATGTAGTTTTTATGAGTGATACATAAATACCGGCTTCCATCTGCTACACTGGGATGTTGAATTTGTTTCGTTGTCTCGCACTTTATCCTTTAATTTGTTTGTTGTAGTGACTTCATTTCAGTGCAACACCGAATTAAAGGCTGACGCTAAATTGCGCTATTTTACAGTATAAATGCTCCTTATTATCTGTATGTAAATAAAGTGTGTGCGACTCGATTAGTTTCGATCAAACTCGGTGAACATAACGCACGTAGCTTAAATGAAGACAACACTGCACACTCGTTATATTCATGATATACATGATCCAAGGCACTTTACATTGTAAGGTCGAGACCTTAAAAATATAGAGAAACAAGAAAGAAAGGTCACTCAGCATTAAGCAGTACTTTCGGTAATTTTTTTTGTCTTTATCAATGTCCAGGAAACATAATGTATTAAGTCCATCATGAATGAAAATGTTAAGATTTAATATGTCTGGAGAACAATATCACCTTTACTGCATATCCCAGGTGTATATATATATATATATATATCAAAGGTGCTGTAGTATTTTATATTCATTGTCAGCAGAGGGGTCAGATGCTGTGTTTGGTTTCAGTCCTGCATTTGATTCAGTTGATAGATTTATAGGAGTTTTCTTATTATTATTTTCTGTATAATGTGTTATTATATTTAAAATTATTGTTTTAGGTGCATTCCAACCTGATCTGAGTGATTTGTGTGCAGGTCAGTCAGCTGACTGTCAGTGTGCATGCATTTTTGCATGTTTTTGGGTGAATGCATGGCCTGTTCTGGCTACCCTGAGGCAGCTGTGTATTTATGAAACCCATAGTCTGGCTGGTGGAGGTTTATCTCTAAACAGCGTCAGTGAGAGCAAACATGTCCCTGCTACGGGCTGCACAGGTCATGGGAAGGTCTCGTTTGTATGGTGACCTTGCCAGGTGTCATTACTGAAGCATTTTGGGTAGCTGTAATGCACCTATGTGGAGAATTGCTCTGGCAAGGTGCCACACTGAAGAGATTAATCTTTGTGCCGCTCCGCTCTAATCATTAACTGGATGGCTATAGTACCTGCTTTAGTCCCAGTGCTCCACACTAAAATAGAAAAGGGAACATTTAGCTTTGTTTCTCTTGAGTCTGTCTTGTTCTCTCGCCCTCTCTCCACTTGTTCTACCCCTCCCATCCTGTAACAACTCTCCTCTCTGTCCTTCTCCATCCTTCCGGTTCCCCTCCCCCTCTCGGTTTTTCATTGATGGGACAGGTTTGCTCTCTTTCTCTCCCCCTCTTTAGCTTGATGTATTTCTCACTACAGTCAGAATTTGCAGTAATATTCAGCATAAAGATTCGGGCCATGCCATCGTCCTTTGTACAAGTTAAAAGCTCCCCTAACCAAGATTTCATATCCATTTCACTTTAACTTTCTGCATTTTCTTAACACTGCCGTTTAAGCTTTACATGTCTTAAAGTGGAATTACTGATAGTCAGTGGTGCATTAAACACTGCGAGTGTTGCACGTGAGCAGTGTTCTGCGTCTGTTCATAAGTAAAGGTTACTGTGTAGAAAGAGTGCACCTTATGCAAGTGGCGAGTTAACAAGAAGGACATTGTAGGACATTGCTGACATGGTTTTTTGATGGTGTTTCAATGGTGGAAGTTGCTGTTAGCAGAGGATTTGGAGTCAAGACAAAGGTGTCTTTGTTTACAGACTTTCACCCATATCTCTTGAGTCTTGTTTATCCACAAATAGGGCAAGATTCAGCTTCACCCCCCATCTCTGTTCCGTGACTGCTCACCAGTCAGCTGATTCATCTTCATTTTTTGTTTGTCTCTGCAATGATCTGTTATGCAGTATTTCGTTTTTGTGTTAATTTAATCAACACCATGATTATGGTTTCTTTGGATTCATGTTGCAAGTTGCAAAACTCTGTTCCCATGACTAATGAGAATTTGTTGAATTGAGTCTAATTTATCTAATTCATATTCTAAATGAGTAATTACTGACCGTGCATGTAGACAATTTTGTCTCTCCGTGAGCATAATATTAAAAGTACAATGAATCTCATTATGACAAATAGGTTGGTTAGAGGCTAGATGTGGTTGTGAGCAAGGATGAATGAGAAAGCAAGGACAAAAAGGTGCGTGTGTGTGTGTGGATGTGCATGTATGTCTGTGCACACGTATGAGACAGTGAGTCTGCCGAGGATGCTTTTGTACTTTAAATCATGTGAATGCAACATGCGGCATCCATTCTGGCAGTTGTTTTAGCCAGTAAGGGCCAGCGTGGCCGCCTGCATCACTTTGCTGTCAGCCTGTAGCGGCAGAGCGGAGGCGGGGCAGAGGGAGACATTTAGTTTGACATTGTAAATAAGCAGAGAGCAGTTGTCAGAGAGCAGCCCGTGGAACCTTTCTCATCTGTTCAGCCGCAGGGAAGGCAGCCACCGCCAGAGGACAAACCATGCAGAGGCAAGGCACTACGAGCATACCCTCACACACTCCCTGAACAGCTTTCCACAACTTTGTTTGCTCTTTTCCACCTTTTCTCCTCTCTTCTCTCTCTTCCCCATTTCTTTTCCCTGACCCCTATCCTGCAGCTCAAGGTAACTTAGAGCAGGAAGTTGGCTGTCGGTAAAAGGGGGTTGGGTGTAGGAAATGGGAGGAGCAGGGGATGTGTCAGAGCTGACTGGTGTGTGCAGCATCCAATGGCATAGGAGGACCCTGTCCTCTCACTGGTTGCAAGTGTAAGACTGAGGCGGGAGCTGGGTGTGAGGCGGGGTTTGAGTATCATGTAGCATGCTAGATTGATTACTCTTGAATGTTAAAGGGGAAGGAGGCTAGAGATTGCTGTTGTGAGTCGGGAGTGCCGCTGTACTGTTTGCCTGCTGTTGCCTGCTGCTGTGCCGGGCTCTCTGTTCCCCCTCGCCCTCTTCTGTGCGCTGGGCCAGGGGTCAGCTCAAAGACAAATGCACAGGTCACTGGTTAGAGAGAGGGAGAGGGGTTAAAGAGGGAAAAAGGCAGAGAGACACAGAAGGTCAGCGAGTTGGAGGGGACTTGCTCAGAAGAGAAACAGGAGGGACGGGGCTGTATGTTTGTGCAGGAGGAGGACGCTGGGGGGCTGCTGAAGGAGACCGGGCAATGTGTAAAGGGAGAGTGGGAGAGAGAAGGGGGAGGGGAAGAAGAAGGGGGGGGGGGGGGGTTTGCTCTTCTCTGTGTGTCCGGGCTGAGAACCTTTTTAAAGCCATCCAGTGGAGCCAGAGTGCCTTTTGTCTGTTGATACGATCAGGGGACTGCAGGAAGTGAAGGAGCTTGAGAGTTTTTCTGTCAACATCTGTGCCTCTTCTTCCTGCTGCTGCATGCGCTCAAGGAGACTTGAACAGGGCTATCTGTTTCCCTCTGTTCTGCTCCGCTCCAACAGGGCAGGCTGTTCACCATGAAGGGCACAGAGGTAAGTCTGATCGCTGAAAACACACACCTAGAGAGAAGACTCGTCAAGTTGGCCAGGCTTAGATTTTCTGAATAAATTCCTCTCCTCTGCTCACTTTCAGATGTTTTCTCTCTCCATCCTGCCCTGCAGTGATGTGACAGTGTCTGTCCTTTACAGCTGTCCTCAGTCCCCCTCCCTCTCCCGTCCTGTAGTACTCTCCTTAGAAGATTGGAGTTGTGCTCTATGTGTGCGTGCGTGCGTGTGCGCTTCTCACCCGTGTCCTTCAGTTGTCACTTCACTACAGCATTGTTGGTTTTTTACAGAATTGGTTAAAGCAACTGTGATGATTCTTCATGTTGTATATTTTCATCCAATCTTCTTTCAAGAAACAATATTGTGTGGACTCAGTCTGTCTTTGTCACTTGTTGTGTTTTGAATGTGGACCACCACACGGACAAACACTTAACCACTCACTTGGTGTTGAATAGAACAGTCAAACTCCAACT